GTGATAGACATTTTTTGCTACATTTATTTGCAAACTGGATTTTCTCTGATTTTAAACAACTCACCTTTTTGAACATTGTAATCAACATTGTGGCTCATCCACACCTCAATGAATCTAGGTGTGCAGATAACACAGTTTAGAGCTGGAGTTCTGTTTCCAAAATTTAAAATGTATTTCCAAAAAATGAAATTTCTACACTAACAAATAAGAGTTTATTCTTATTGGTTCATAATTAATTAAAGTAATAACTAGGAAAAGTTCCATGAAACAGGGAATAGGAAAAGAGAGAGAGAAAAAAAAGCATCCTCATCAAAATGAACCAAGACAAGAAAAAGGCAAAAATGCTAGTGAAGTTGAAGAATATAACATAAAATATATATGAAAAGAGTTCATTCTTTATTTGTTATTCATATTGATTACCAACTAACATTGTAACATTTTTAAATTTAATACTTCATAGGAGTAACTTAATTACCCAAGTGCTGATTATCACTACTATAATCATAAATAATATCTGTCATGTTGAGTTGGTTTTTTGTCCCACTCTGTTACCCAGACTGGAGTGCAATGATGCGATCTCGCCTAGGAATTCAGGCGCCTGCCACCACACCCGGCTCATTTTTGTATTTTTTAGTAGACACGGGGTTTTACCATGTTGGGCAGGATGGCCTCCATCTCGTGACCTCATGATCCACCCGCTCCTAAAGTGCTGGGATTACAGGCGTGAGCCACAGTGCCCAGCCTGAGTTGGTTTTTCATAGTGCCAACCACCTCTGGGTACTGCAGCTAATAAAAGATTTACAAATTATATATGGGCCTTAGAGTCATCATTACCTGTAGACTCAAAGTTTACTTTCTAGTAGATTTTCAGAAAACCAACCCATGAACTTCTTTTCCTCTTTTTTTTCTTTTTTCTTCTCTCCCTTTCTCCCTTATTTCTATCCTTACTATCTTCCCACCTCCCTAATTTACTTCCTCCTTTTTTCCTTTCCTCCTTCTCCACAATTTTAATTTATACATTCTTTCTTTCATCCATTTATTCAAAACCATTTACCAAGATTATACCATATAAGAGACTGATAATAAATAGATAAATAAGAAAACTCCAATGGATTAACGGCAAAAGACATTGTTTATCAGTGTGATGTTTTCTATTTGTGTAAGAGTTACTGAAAGCAAAGACACCTGTGTGGGGGAAATAATAGCCTCATAGAGAATTGCTGGAAGCATGAATAAGATCTGAATGTTGAAATAAAGGCAAGCATATGTGAAAGGAAGAAAATAAAGGCATGGAGGAGAGAATACAAAGGATCGAATATATTGCCTGACCTTTTCATCTTTCCTTTTTCTCTCCTCTACTATTTTTCTAAGTAATGACATGGAAAAATTCATCAGTTTTAATAATGTAATACTATTTGTAATTTTTTTTGAGACAGGGTCTCACTCTGTCACTCAGGCTGTAGTACAGTGGCACAGCCACCACTCACCTCCCTGGTTGAGCAGCCTCAGCCTCCCTGGTTCAAGCCATCCTCCCACCTCAGCCTCCAGAGTAGCTGGGACTACAGGCAAAAGCCCCCATGCCTGCCTAATTTTTGTATTTTTTGTAGAGATAGGGTTTCACCATTTTGCTCAGGCTTGTCTCAAACTTCTGGGCTCTAAGGATCCACCCGCTTTCACCTCCCAAAGTGCTCGGATAACAGGTGGGAGCCACCATGCCAGGCCTACTATTTGTAATTTTTAATACTATAAAACAAACTAAAATTGACTGCAATCTAGTATACAGAAGTTCCCATTTACTTCGGTGTCTGACCATTACTCGGGTTGTATTCTGAAACTTTCATTATTTTAGAACCAACCAGTTATATTAGGAATTCAAATTTAACCATAAAAAAAATCAGGTTGTTTTGCTTTTGATTTGCATCCAATGCTAACTCCAGTATTACTATCCTTCCACCACCAGTGGTCCCATTTTTGATGATCTGTTGTGATTGTGACGGTGCTGCTGCTCGTAGTGTTGGCGGCTTTGAACCTGTTCCCGAATGTTCAGATGGAGCAATGCATGTATGGTCAGAAGAAGGACCACAGCTCGATGTAAGTGCCATATTCTAAGAAACAGCCTTTGGTCGTCACTGAAATTCAGTCTCTACACATGATCCAAGATGGCCACCATCACTCACAGTCTATGCTGTTTTTTTGAGCTGAGAAAGCTAATGGGGAAAATGAAATCAAAAGTACAACAAAATTAGATGGAAGTAACCAGAAAAGGCTTTCTAAATGAAGTTCAAATTTAAGTATATTTCAGAATTTCTTAAATAGCATTCTGTTAAGAAATCTGAGGTAATTTGAGAATAAACCAAATGTATAACTATATGAAAATTATAATCGTTTGTCATTACAAATGGAAATGTTGTTTCCTGTCTTTTAGCCTACAAACACTGTCTGTGTACCACCAATATCTGGTGCTACAAATCTGATTGAATTCGTTGACAACACAGGTAAGAAAAAAAATTTTGTTTAACAACTCAAATGACTAAGTAGGAAATCTGTTTTCTCTCTTTGCATATTGTTTTTGATTATCTTACTTTTCTTTAAAAGTGTTTATATAATTCATTTTTAAATGACTAATTTGTAAATTAAATGGCAAGGAAAAACCTACTGAAATTATTATTCTTAGATGCTGCATTTTAAAAATTTCCCTCAGCCATCAGAGTACTTAGAAGGTGACCTCATTAGGATCTCTCTATACACAGAAGTACTTACCATGAGTAAGTTTTTGTCAAGACTTTTAATTTCATAGAACAAATTTCATTATAAACACACACATAGTTCATACATGTATATACATTAATTAGAAGTAAACCCAACTGAAATAAACCTGTGCTCATTTACTGAGGCTAAAATCTTTATACACAATTAATTTAAGGATTCAAAATTGCTTTGACTTTAGCTGCTTATTATAACAAAGCAAAAACTACATTCATTTTCATTATCATCATAAATATTTCCCAAAAAATATTTATCCAATTTCTTTAATTGAAAGTAAGTAGATGAAACACTAACAAAATCTTTCAAAGCTCTCAACTGACATTGTGTGCACATGGTGGAGTTTCTTCTCGCACATGGGTAAGACTACATGAATACAACTTGCATTAAAATGGGCGTCTAGACCAATTCACCCGCAAAAACCAGGGAACAATTAGAATTTCACAGTAGTGGATAACTACCACCACAATAAAAGAACAATTTAAATAACATTTAATATCTGTAAAAATAGTTGTATCACATTATTTTTCTCAAGGTAAATAATTACTATTGGTTAGCTTATTTTTCTCATAGTCTTTTTAAACAGTAACCATTATTTTCTACTTTAAACTCTAATATACAAGAGGCATAGGAATGTGTATAACTTGTAGAACTGGACCTTATTCAAAGAACTGGACACATTAGTCTTTAAATCTATTTCTCCACCTGATTGTCCATTTTCATTAATAACTCCAATGCCTTCTCACCTGAAAAGCAGAATCTCATTGTTGACTCACATTCACTGACACTGAATCAGTTCTCAAGACTTGTCAGATCATCAAATCCATCAGTATTTATTTATGCATTTGTTCCCATTAAGTCTACAAACTTTTGCACACGTTTTGAGCAAAGCACCATAAGAGGCACCAAGGACAACTGAAACATGAAAAACACATTGTTCCCAAACTCAAGATCCTTCACGCACTAAAGCCAATGGGTACCTATCCCACTGACAACATTCTTCATTCCATAGCAGTTCTACAGTCCAGCCCATCATTTTTTCTCACTTACTTCAAATATTTTTTTTAATTTAAAAAAGAGGAAACACTTGATCAATTTGCGTATCATCCTGTGCAGGGGCAATGCTACTCTTCTCTGTATAGTACTAATTTTAGTATATGTGCTACCGAAGCAAGTACCTACCTCAAATATAGTAACAGTGTTCAACTTACCCCTCACATCCAAGTGCAAACCCAAGATTCATGAAAACCTTTCCCCTCACATAGCCATAACCTTCTCTCTGAAAGCCAGTAGTTCTCATGTCTTTTTCTGGATGTCCTGTGCTTCTAGAAATACATTAGGGTATTCTTACACTATTTTTTTAACTTTCAGAATTTGAGTATTTTCCCTCTAATTTCCCTCATGTTGAAATCAAACTCTTTAGGGCAAAGATTTTTCTAATTTCTCTGCAGCCTTCACTTCCAGCAGAGAATATAGTATTCTCTTAACAGATAATTACCAAATTGACAAATTGATAAATATTATTTTGAGCTCAATATTGCATTAATATCTCCTTTCTTTATGTATTATCTTTTATTTCTTTATTCACAAATGCATATCTAAATGAAGAAATCATATATTTGTAGCAAGTTGTTAATTTTTAGTTTATGATAGACAAAAGAAAATAAATGTAATTCTTTCAACTCTTTTAGGAGTTTATACAAATGAGTATGATGGCAGAAAAATGCATGATATGGGAGGAGGAGAGAGAGTTGAACTAAGAGAGGAAGTTAACATGTCAGGAATGCCTGAGACATGCCAAGAATACCCTGGAACATTAAGAAGGAATTCTATGAGAGAATGTAGAGAAGGAGGTCTGAATATGAATTTCATGGAAAGCTACTTCTGTCAGGTAAGGTCCCTAGCCACATGCTTTTCTTGCCATCCATGTGCCCGCTGCTATTCTCCAAGCTTCCCCTAATTCCCAAAGGGGCTTTGGCAGGAGTCTCCTAACTGGGTTCTCAGCCTTTAATCTTTGTGTCCAATAATCCATGCCGTTAATGAATTGTGTATCAAAAGCTCTGACCTCCACACTTTACTCCCCCACTTAAGAACAGCCAATGGCTCCCAGCTTTCTTTTGCTCATGGCTTGCAATCCAAAGTCCTTAACATGTTAATTAAGATTGTTCACAAAATGAACCCTCCCTCTCATCTCCAATTACTCCTTGACATCAATTCCACTTGCTGAGCACCTTTGCCACAGACATTTCACCTCCATGCCTTTGCTCATCCTGTGCCCCTCCTGGAATGCTTGCATCCCACTAGGTCTTTCACAAACCCCTACCCATCAAGACCCAGTCCAAATATCACTATCCCTCTGAAGTTTTTACATTTAATCCTCTCATCCAAAATAGGTTTAATGTTTTCTCTTCTGTATTTCTGCAGTACTTGGTTTATACATTTATAGAACCTGTAATTGTTAAGATCTGTCAGTTTATATGTCTACCACCATTTTTAGTGTCTCATCCATATGTTCTCTACATTATATTGCCAGTACCTAGCTCAATTCTAGACACATAGTCAACAGTTAATAAGAGTGGGGTCAAGAGCTATAGTCTACTTCTGAAACATTGCAAGAATGCGCTGCAGGTGGTGGGAAAGGCATGAAGCCTGGAGAAGCAACTGCAGGAGACTTAACTTTGCCATACCCAGGAAGAAACGTAATTGTCCATGGTTACACACTATGTGATACCCAACCTTCAGGAAGTTCCTGTCCCTGGTAATGACTGGAAAGACATTTCTGTCCTACATTCTGGCCTAAAAGGCTTTCATTAACTAACTTACTGATATTGACACCACTAGGTTAAATAAGCTGATATTTTAAAATAAAATATTAGTAAAAGCCTTCAAATAGCAATAGATAGTAATGAGGCTTGTTGAAAGCCACAGGAATGCTTATCCATACATATAACATAATATTTTTATTTATCTGTTGTTATTAAAATGTAACATAAAAACATCTTCCTTCAAATCTCTGATCACATATCACTTTATCAAAGATCCCTTCCTTAATCACCCTATCTAAAACAACACCTATCACTTTCCTTTTCTTTACCCTGCGTCTGCCACCTCCTGATCATATGCTTCTGTGTTGTCTGTCTCACTCAACCAAAATATAAGCTCTGTGTATCTGGTATTGTTCATTATGCATAGCTAAGTTCCAAACGCAGAGTGTCTGGCAAATAGCAAAAGTTCAATCATTTTTTTTTTACATGAATGGCACAATGAGTTGGTTTCCTATAAAGTATTTCTGTTAACCTGAAAGTTTATAATCCACTATTATGAACAGCAAAGATGAAACAAAAGTATACATGCCTTTGGGCTTTTACTTTGAATTTAGAGATATTATATATTTTTTAAACTGTCTTTGGTCACCTTCAATTTTGTAGAACAGACCCAGAATCAACTTTTCCTGTTGCTGTGCTGAAAAGCCATGTTGCAATAAACCTTCACAGAATCAGCATATTCATTCCATCTGAAGGAAAGAAGCAGAATCCTGAGTGAACCCAAATCAACTATGAACTACCCTTTCTAGACAAAAAATGAAACAACACATTTTTGTGTCCTTCAAGTTCAGCATTTTTATATGCCTCCCTTTAACTTCGTTATAAAATAATTCATGTGATTTTTTGTGCACAGTTTTATGTCCAAAGTATACAATTATAAATAGTTCCATCTAAGTAAATTTTTAATATCATAATATATTATTAGAATTATACTTAAAATAATTTCTAACCAAATTATTTCAAGTAATTATAAAATGATTTTTAAAGCATCTGTAGCAGATGTTAGAATCTTGTTTTATTTCATTTCTCTCTGGAAATGCTCTGGAAGAAAAACTAATGATAAAGGCTGTTCTATTGTTGTTAAATATGCATTCATAATTTCATTTTCTCCTTCTCCTATAAATTCAGAAAGCATATGCTTATGCAGATGAAGATGAAGGACGCCCATCCAATGACTGTTTGCTCATATATGACATCGAAGGTGTAGGTTCCCCTGCTGGTTCTGTGGGTTGTTGTAGCTTCATTGGAGAAGACCTGGATGACAGCTTCTTGGATACGCTGGGGCCTAAATTTAAGAAGTTGGCAGACATCAGCCTGGGAAAAGAAATTGAATCATATCCAGACCCTGATCCTTCTTGGCCACCCCAAAACACTGAACCAGTTTGCCCCCCTCAGGAAACAGAGCCCATTGTTAGTGGACACCCACCCATCTCCCCACATTTCGGCGCTACCACAGTAATTTCTGAGAGCACCTATCCCTCGGGACCTGGTGTACAGCATCCTAAGCCTATTCCCGATCCTCTGGGCTATGGTAATGTCACTGTGACCGAGTCTTACACCACCTCTGACACTCTGAAGCCCTCTGTGCACATTCACGATAACCGACAAGCATCAAACGTGGTGGTGACAGAGAGAGTGGTCGGCCCGATCTCTGGCGTTGATTTGCATGGAATGTTAGAGATGCCTGACCTGCGAGATGGGTCAAATGTTATAGTGACAGAAAGGGTAATAGCACCAAGTTCTAGTTTACCCACCTCTCTGACTCTCCATCATCCTAGAGAGTCTTCAAATGTGGTAGTGACAGAAAGAGTAATCCAACCAACTTCTGGCATGATAGGTAGTCTGAGTATGCACCCTGAGTTAGCCAATGCCCACAATGTGATTGTCACAGAGAGGGTTGTTTCTGGCACTGGTGTAACTGGAATCAGTGGCACCAGTGGAATAAGCGGTGGCATAGGCAGCAGTGGCCTGGTTGGCACCAGCATGGGTTCTGGGGGTGGGGCCCTGAGTGGAGCTGGCATAAGTGGTAGTGGCATGGGCCTGAGCAGCTTGGGAGGGACAGCCACCATTGGCCACATGAGGAGCTCCTCTGACCATCACTTTAACCAAACCATTGGGTCTGCCTCCCCTAGCACAGCTCGAAGTCGAATCACAAAATACAGTACTGTGCAATATAGCAAGTAGTCAGGATCCCAGCTCACTTTTTCATAGTCATTGTGATTCAGATCCAATTCCTACCACCCAAAAACTAGCAGTGTGATTTATGACGCACCACTTGGTGCCCAGATCATTGAGAACCAAGGTGAGAAACCACAATGAGAAAAATAAATGGAAACATTGCTACTAGGGAGAGCTCTCCTTAGCGTTCATGAATTTTTTGTTATATTAGGACTAAGGAACTAAAACTTGAGGCAGAGTCTTCTTTGGACCTGTGTGGCCTGTAGCGTATCTCCAGCCTGTAACTAGCCTTATGACATCAATTGGCATAATTCTCCTTGCTCTGTTTTGCTTTGCCACGTAGCTTGGGCAAAATTCAAAACGAACTAAACATGCAATATGTGTTCATGTCTGTGAGAAAATCTAAAATGTGTGCCAGACACCCTGTCAGTTTCACAGATAACATAAATAAAAATTCAACCACAGATTAATACAAGGGTTAACCGATTTTTATTTAAGATTGACAACATAGTCAAGTCCACAAGCCATCAAGCACTCCTACCTTAATTACTGCACCAGATAAAATAAATTTTAAATTAGGAAGTATTTCCTAGGAGGAAAATTCCATTAGAGAGTGACAATGAGGTTTGTGCAGGGTAAACTAACAATGCCTGACTCTGAATCTTAATTTGGGGCCTCAGTTAAATCTCCTGTGGAGTCAAGGACTCTTCCGATTCTAGTTTGTGTTTAGTGATAGATGTAATCTTGGTGAACATTGCTTACTGGTGAAGTTGAATATCATACTCAGCTTTCCTTTTACCACTGTGGTTTTGACATAAGAAAGCAAAACTTTAAGTTAACTTTTCCAATTGAAGCAAATGAGGCCCTACATAGTTGACATCACTAGTGGTAAATGACCTTACAAGTAAGCAGATGGGAACTGAATTGTGTTTTCAGGTTTTGTTTTTAGTATGTGGTATTCATTCTTATCCAGCTCTTTATTGCATAGCTCCAATGTTAAAATGATTTACATAGGCTGAGCTGTGGACAAAACTGAAGAAGAAAAGAAGCTCGCAATATGCTTAAGCTTTGGGGAATTTTTTTTTAAGGGGATCTAAAAAAATGTTTTTAAAACATGTAAAATGTTTAATGGGGAAAGTTAGAAAAGAATTCTTTTGTAAAGTAATACCATGCTAATTATTGGCTTTTAGTATGTAAAGCAGTGGTTGCTTTAGCAAACCTCTGCTACCATTTTGCGGGGGTCAACCAGGAGCCTTTAACAGAGTTGACAATATTGTGTTGACCAGAATGAAATGTAGATAACCTATTCCACTAGTTTATCTCACCCTCTAATTTTTCTCACTGGCATAAATTTTAAATTCCTGATTTGATTTGTCAATAAGATCTTGGCTTACATATGCTCTGATTTATAGATAGCGTTCAAATTATATAGTATAACATATTTTTCTAGCCCTATTGATGAAATACCATGTCTGTATGTTTGCTGTATAGTGTTATCTGATTAAAAATCTCTAAAAAGAATCAAAGCATTCTAAGAAAAAGGTAAATTTACTATTGCATGGTAGAGAAAATTTTTCTTTCTTAAATACAATGTTACTATAAGCTCACTAAACTGAAACTCTATATGACAGAATAAAATTAGAAAAAAAATTTTGCCCTGGAGTTGTGAATTATATACAACTTTTCAAGAATTTATCCCAATTACTCAAATTTCCCAGGAAATTACAAGGCCTAAGAATAGTTATTTGACTTACTACTCTGGTTTAAAGGGGACAGGAGTGAATTATTTAACATAGAGCTATTTTGCTCTGAATAATAGCAGATAAAGCTAATATTTTAAAAGCTACAGTATACATCTTCTTTTAACTCTGTAGAATATGTAAAATTTTGATAGTCTGTAGTATGCCAAAATGCAGAGATATAAATAAAGTCATTCAAAGGGAGTCTTTTCTTTTTCCACCACTTAGTGGGCTACATTAAGGATGGGTAATCTTTCCAGAAATAAAGTCAAAAGATATTTATTAAAATATACTTGAGTATGCCTGGGTCCAGTTGTAAAGAATAGAAAAAATTATTAATGAATTAATTAAGTAATTTATTAAAGGGAATGATATCTGACCACAGGAAACTTGCTTGTTGTTTTGATATGAAATAGCCTCACCACAGGCTGTTTCTTAAAACACCTGATAGCTTCCAGAGATATTTTTTAGGTTGCCTTGCAAACAACAAAATAACTGTCTTTAATAACTATTGCTGTTAAGATGTGCAGGTAGTTAAGATTCCCCCAATTTAGTTACATTTGAACTCCTAAACACTGTTAAACAATGAGAAAAACAAGAAAAAAAAATGGCAGTGTTAGTCATCTATCTTTCTAGGAAGATACTTTCTAACCAAATTTTTCTTCCAGAATTGCACATTGATGGGAAAACAAGAAAAATGGAAGTATTAGGCATCTATCTTTCTGGGAAGATACTTTCCAACCATTTTTTTCTTCCAGGATTGCACATTGATGTTTTGTTTAGTCCTAAATTTGAAAATTACCTTTTTAAGCCATCAGCCATTTTAGTAGTCATTTAAAGGCATGTCATTTTTCAACGAACAAGCTTTGGGCAGAACTTCATTCTTCTTTTTAGATGTTTACTCTAGATCATATACATCATGTCATAGACCAAGAAGAGATATGCAAATCATTTTATAAGTGATTGCTATAGTTAGGATTCAAGCTGAGTTTCAGACCAACTTGCTCTTAACAAAAGGAAGAAGAAAGAGATAGTAATTTAATGCTATGTATGTATGGTTTGAAAACAAATCATAAGGTTTATAAAATATCTATCTGACTTTCTAAAGGAGTAGTCTTTAGGGGCAAAAATTAGTGCATTATAAATACTTTACCATTTAATATCAACCAAAATACCATCTCAAGCTAATTTGGACACTGAATTCCAGATATACCTGCTACGTATTATTTACTTCTAAGTGTGTTGCCTGATGTAATTGTATTTGCACTGAAAAATTAAAAGAAAACATATATTATGAGTTATTTATATATCTTCATCTAGACATCTGTTCTATATTTGTGTATAAAGTTTTTAGCATCATAATTTTTATTCAAGAAAATGTTCTGACAAAATTTTAATTATATGTCCTCGAATTTTACATTTTTACTCTAGTAAATAGATGCTTTTAGTTATCTGTGCAATTTATTTCTGAATTCATACCAATACTTGATTGTCATGGTACAAAATATATGACACCCTTTGACTTTTGCTGGAGTTTAAAGGTGTAATAATCTTTAGCATAAATGCTCATGACTGTTTTGGAAAGACATTTAAAACCCAAAACAAACTTTTAAAAGTATTTGCCACATTTTCTCATGCCTGTTTCATAAATTCCAACTTTTTTGATGATTTTTAGCATTTTTAAGATCCATTTCACATTGCACTAGAACACTGCAGTCCACAGTAGACTGCAACTCTCCATGAAATCAAATCTGTCTTCCACTTCCAGATTATTACACTAAGTTAGGACAAAACTTGAACAGATCAACCTATTATCGATCCATCAGATAATTTTAAAACAATGTATAATCTTGTTTAATTGTCTACATTCTCTCCCCAATTTAGCTGTATTTCACTTACTAAACACTTGATCATCAAACTGAACCTAGTCTAACTTATTTTTCTTTTGCTGTCTATTTTACAAGCTTTTAAAATATTTATCTCTGGTGGTGTTTGAAACAAGGTACTCTTCTTCGAGCTTCAATATAAAAGTTTTTGGATCATTTGGGTGCTAGTTTCTTGCTTGGTCATCTGTTGGTTTTTTTTTAAGTTGATTTGTAATTTCCAAAGAGTTATTCATACAGCAATAAAATGATTAATATGCTTCCCTTATCTTTTCTGAATTGTGAGCAAGGGGGAGGTTTTAGACTGTAAGAAATTATTCCAAGTTATCAAACCTAGTTATTATTATCGTCCTGTATTGGAGGAGATATCATTCTTTTATTTTCACAGTGTTAAAATATGTTTTCATTCTCCATTTCTTAGATATCTTTTTTAGTGTGTACTGAGGAAGCTATTCTCTGGACCACTACTTACAGATGCTAGAGCCCAGGCTCGACCAGGTGGTTAGCCCCACACAAATGAACAGATGACAAAAAGTTTGCATTTTTAGTTTTTATTTGATACTTGTAGACTCTTTATACTTTTACCTTTCTTTCTTTCATACTCTGCATTTTTATTTTTGCCTATACCCTCATTTTATTTCTTCTAAAATGGCTTTTCTTCTTTTTTGCCTTTAAAATCATACCCTTTCATCTTTACTGGGATGTGTCTCCTTTTGTTCTCCAATGCCATTTCCAGACTATTATCAACTTCATCTTGCACAAAATCTTACCTCTTTCAGACTTATATGATCCCTTCCCTCTCTTCTCTTCTTCATAATGTCTCTACTTTTAATGAAGACTCCAATACCCTGGCCTAAGCTCTTTTGTAACTTTCCCAACTTCTGAGAGTGTTCATAGTAACTTAAACATCCACATGGATGAACCACCGAAGTCCCAGATTCTCATTTCTAGAGCTCCATTTCTCCCGTCCACTCAGCTGCCATTTTCTTGTCATAACCTGGCATGCTGCTACCTTGAATGCACCTGTTTCTGTCCCTGCAGCCTCTGACCATTTCCCTCTCGTCCCTAATTGGTTCACATTATTGTCATTCTCCCATGTCATCAAAGCTTCAATGTGTTGACTTCCACCACTTTTTCACTGTCAGCTTCATCTGTCCGTCTAATCTAGCTTCAGGAGTCCAACTAGAGTCATCTCTTTGTCCATGCCTTCAACCTCCTTGCCCTGCCCTCTCTCTCTCTCTCACCCCAGAACTTTTGCCTTCCATCCCTATCTGCACACAAACAGCTAAACAAATTATCCAAGTGAGCTGACTTTTAAACATTAAACACTCAATCTCAAAGCTCAGCATAACATTAGATACTTCTCTGAAATCCTATCTGCTTCTCTTATGGATGTCCCATCTCATCATACTAGATTGCTACTCTGCATCTTCTCTGTCCTCAAACCTCCCACAAGCCCTCTTCCTTTCTCATTCTTTCTGGGTGGTCTAATCCTATTGTTCATTGAGTAAAACAAAAGTCATCCATTTTGAATGCATTCATCTTCCTCTGCCAAACCTCCATATCTACCTGCACTCACACCCATCTTCTCCTCCCTCCGAAGGGCTTATTCCACAGAGTTTGTGGCCTACTAATATGAAAACATAGTCCTCCAGTTCTGCTCAAATCAAGGACTTTGCTTCTTCCCTAATCGTCTCTTTCCTATTCTTTTTCCTCTCTCTCTTTCTGTTTCCTCTCCTTCTCTTTCTCTTTTCTGTGTCTTTCTCCTGTCTTTCCTGTCTCTCCACTCTCTCTTTTTATCTCCTCTATCTCTCACTCTCTTTCTATGTCCTCTGTCTACTCTCTCTCTTCCTTCTCTTTCTTCTCTCTTCCTTCCCTTCCCTCCATCTCCCCAGAACATTTTCATCTGCACCCCTCCTTGTAGCTAATGCCTCATTCGTTTGCTTGTTTCATTAGTCTTCTTGAGGTTCATGTACGGATGCTGTCTTGTCTTTTCCATGTCCCATCAAACTTCAAAGTCCTCCCATCTGTTTGTCATAATGGTCCTTACCAAGTGTGTCCAAGATCTATGCATTGCAAGCACAAGGCCTACTTTTCTGCTCTCCCTCTTTCTTAACCTCTGGGAAAAATCTTTAAAAGGGAACCCTTCTCTCTTCCTTGAAACACTCTTGTGTCTTGGCTTGTGTAACACCATTCTTTCCTGGTTTCATCAGCCAGTCTCACTCATTCTCTTTCCCTTTTACTCATTTATCCAATCCAAAGTTTGGTCCCAAGCCCTCTTCTCTTAACACTTTACACTGACTCTATGAAACCTCATCAAGATCTCTTTTTAAATGTTCAAAATTAAACTTACAATTTTACCTCCAGAGCTTCCCCATTCCGACAATTATTACCCTATCTACCCATTACTCAAGCCAGAAACTGAGTACTTTTTGATCTCATTCCTCCTCTCACTACCCACATTTTATTCATTAAGAAGTTCTGTTTATTTTATAACCAAAATATATATTGACCCATTTAGTAGTTTGTGTTAGTCCATTATCACACTGCTATAAAGATACTATCTAAGACTGGTTAATTTAGAAAAGAAAGAGGTTTAACTGACTCACAGTTCCGCTTGGCCAGGAAGGCCTCAGGAAACTTACAATCATAGTGGAAGGCAAAGGGGAAGTAGGGAACTTCTTCACATGGCAGCAGGAGAGAGAAGGGCAAGCAGGGGAAATGCCAGATGCTAATAAAACCATCAGATGTGAGAACTCATTCACTATCATGACAGCAGCATGGGGGAAACTGCCCCCATAATCCAATCACTTCTTTCCCTTGATACATGGGGATTATAATACAAGAGGAGATTTGGGTGGGGACACAGAGCCAAACCATTTAATAGTTTTAATCCTTATCTGTCACTACCCTAATGGCAATGCTTCCACTTCAGCCTTCTTCAAACAATTTTCTATAGATGAACTTATGTGACCTTTTAAAGTATTAATCAAGTTGAGTCAACCCCCCATTTTAAAAATGTCAATGGATTTCCAGTAAATGTTCCAGAAAAGCCTGATGTATCATTGATCCACAGTGGATGACAGTAATTTGCATGGAAAAGTTGAAAAGAAATGAATTAAGAAAATGTTTTGGCTTTTGCAAATGGTATTCACTCCACATGAATGATTTGCCTCCTCACTTTTATATGGTAGCATCCTTTCATCCTTCAGGTAGCAATTAGAACATTATTTCTTCATATATTCTTTCCTTGATCAATGTTTTCACATAGTCATTCATTTATTCTGTGGATAGTTATTGAATTCCAAATAGTTATACCAGGCAGTGGTGACCTGACAGTGAAAGATAAAGTCCTCCTCGTGGAGTTTATGATAAGGATAGAATGGAGATGAAGGAAGTCTGATAATAGAGAACTAAACCAGTAAATATAAGGTGCCTTAGATGACTGTAAATGAACAAGGAAAAAGCAAAGTGGAATAATTTAGGAGAGGGATTGCAGGGCAGGAGGATGCACTTTGATGTAGGGTAAAGGAGGCAGGGTTCTATTAGAAGATAATATTTGAATGGAGATTTAAAGAACATTTAGGAGCAAGCCATGTATCTACCTGGGTACAAGACATTTCAGACAGATGGCTATTCGTGGAAGAGCAAGGTCTCTGTGTGTGGAGAGATTAAAAGAAGGAAAGCAGCAGGAGGTAGAATCTCAGAGGAAAGGGGATTGAGCTTGGCCTTGCAGGCCATTATAACAGACTTATTCTGAATGTAATGGAGAGCTACTAGAGAGTTGGGGCTGAAGAGTGCTTTGTTCAGGTTTTGAGTTGTTTGTTTGTTTGTTTTGAGACACCTGGTCTGTCATCCAGGCTGGAGTGCAGTAGCATGATCATGACTCACTGCAGCCTCAACATCCCGAGCTCAAGAAATCCTTCCACCTCAGCCTCCAGAGTAACTGGGACTACAGGCACAAGCCACCTTGCCTTCCTCATTTGTGTATTTTTGGTAGAGACAGAGTTTTGTAATGTTGTCAAGTTTAGTCTTGAACTCCTGGGATCGAGCAATCCCCCCACCTTGGCCTCCCAAAGTGCTGAAATTATAGGCATGAGTCACTGTGCCCAGGCCAGATTTGTATTTTTAAAAGAACATTCTACCTACAGTGTTGGCACTTTGGGAAGGAAGTCACAGAATGAAGAAGACATGTTAAAAAGCTACTGAAATAATCCAAGTGAATGAGTGAACCAACCATAGCAGGTAGCAAAACAAGTGACAAAAACAGAACAAAAGCCCTGGACAGATCAATAAAGTAATACATAGAAAAAAAAATAGGAAAAAAAGGCAGTAAGCAACAGATTAAATTTAAATCTCACTAAGTATTGCCTTGAAAATACTCAAACATAATAAGTACAAATAAAAGGCCAGGTGCAGTGGCTCACTCCTATAATCCCAGCACTTTGAGTGCCCAAGGCAGGCAGATCGCGAGGTCAGGAGTTTGAGACCAGCCTGGCAAACATAGTGAAACCTCGCCTCTATTAAAACTACAAAAATTAGCCAGGCATGGTGGTGGGCGCCTACAGTCCCAGCTACTCAGGAGGCTGAGGCAGGAGAATCAGCTGAACCCGAGAGGCAAAGGTTGTGGTAACCTGAGATCACTCCACTGCACTCCAGCCTGGGCAACAGAGCAAGACTCTGCCTCAAAAATAAATAGATAACTAAATAAATAAGTACAAATGGAGAATGTTAGGTTGGTCAAAAAGTTTAGAAATGATGCCATTTTCTAGTCATCTACTTGGTTACTGAGTTCAAATAAGACAAATTCCAGCTGACCCTGAGAGACTTACTTTTTCTAGTTTTATAAAGAAAGCTTAGCAACTTGGCATATCCCGGTCTGTGCCTGTTTCTCAGTCATGTATCTTCTCTCTTCAGCTCTTATATAAAACCTAGGAAGAAGAATTTCTACCTCCAGAACTTTCTCAAAACTACTCAGAATGTCAGGCTCTGACTCTTACCTAAGTTTGCATCTGATTTGACCCAGAATATAATTTGTCACATTTTTTTCAAAGAAAAATGTTTTGATCTATTCAATTTATTAATTGTCTGTCTCAAAGTATATGCCAGTTTCAGCTTAATAAATTATGGACATGCGATTCTCAGTTTGTTTTGATAACTGCCTCATATTGGGCTCACCCAAACGCAAACTCTGAGACAGGATTAGAGAGCAATTTTGGAAGGAGGTAAAGGAATCACTGGTAGGAAACAGGGAGATGAAACGTGCAAGGGAAAGCTACCAATAAATTGTACCTATCACCCAGTTACAACCATGGGCAATCAAAGCTTAGTCCTCCTAGGGAAAACACGGGGAGCCAATGTAGTACAGGCTCTGTGGTTAAGCCATCGGAGAAATAAGGGAGATAGTGTATTTATATACACCAGCTACCATCAGTTAATAACTGAAGTCCACTTTTGGAGATAGCTAATTCCCTGTGCCTGCTGCACAGGTGGGCAGAGTGGCTTTGGCATCAGTGAAATGAAAAAATGCAGGAGCTGGCCCTTTGGGTAAGTGGACACTGAAATTACAGGAGAAAAATATGGAGAAAGTCTTGTCAAGGTTTGTTACAGCTATTGAGATATTGCATCACTCTGGTAATAGATGCCATAAGAAACCAGAATTTGTTGACATGACAAGCCTTTCTTGAACATTTCCCAGTAAATAAGAATGGGTCAAATGCTGCTATATTGATAGACTAGGTAACAAAACCTGATGGTGTGAAATAGAAAAGTTTTTAGGTCCCTCATGTCCTTAGCTTGTGCCTTCATGGTTTTACATCATTTATGTTAATTATATGCTTGACCCCCATAGAGTGCTTAGACATATAATCATTTTTCTACAATACATGACTTGGCTTTACCATTACAAGCTTAGGAATGGCCTGAATAATTGGTTTTGGTATCTACTGCCAGAAGGAAATGCTATGAATTCATCAAAGTTATAATTTTTTGTAAACATAACCCCAATATTTTAATACATTGTTCCTAATAACATCATACCAATATACCCATTCTCTGAGACATGGTCTTGCACTTAACGTATATTAAAAAGCACAACAGGCCAGGTGCGGTAGCTCACGCCTATAATCCAAGCACTTCAGGAGGCCGAGGAAGGCAGATCACTTGAGGTTAGGAAGCCTGGCCAATGTGGTGAAACCCTGTCTCTACTAAAACTACAAAAATTAGCTGGGTGTGGTCGCAGGTGCCTGTGGTCCCAGCTACTCATGAGGCGGAGGCAGGAGCATCTCTTGAACCCAGCAGGCAGAGGTCGCAGGGAGCCAAGATTGCTCCATTGCACTCTGGCCTGGGCAACAAGAGTGAAACCCTGTCTCAAAAACAAACAAACAAACAACAACAAAAAAAAACACACAGCAAAAAAATTATATTGCCATTAGTTGGGTATGCAAATAATTAAATAAAAAATGTTGAATTAATGTGTGATGCACAGAGGTCAGCACAGCAACAATAGAAACTTGCTGAACACATGAATAAAGGCAGTCCCTTTGTACTCACATGGTTCTAAAGCTCATCCTTGCATTGACAGTCTATAA